CAAGTTCTCTCATGCTGATGTTCTTGGTTATTCCCATAACATCACTTTCTTATTTGTTTGTCAAAAGGAAGCAGGATGAGACATGGGGGAGGAATGGATGAGAACTCCCAGCAGTGGTCAGGAGGTTGGTGGGAAGTCAGCAGCCTGCAGGGGGGTCACACAGGCTCTCCTTCAGGAGAGGGCTGTGGTGTGGCAGTGCAGCTGCTGCAGGAAGGAGTGCAGCCGTCAGAGCCAGCTGGGCTCTGCAGAGAGGGGGTCCCAGTTAGTGCCCAGCAGCAGCAGTGAGGTGTTGGTGGGACAGCCTGGGCACAGCACAGCTCCCCGTGCGTGCCATGTACTCCCTGTCTGCGACTGCCGAAATCCTCCCATCTGATGCTGCAAATCAGTGTGGTGGAGTTGTCCAGTTTGTTCTTAGTCATAGCAAAACCTAATCCCCAGGCTGGAGACAGATTTAAATTCTGTCTATGTTGCATGTGGCTCTCACAGGCTGTTCTGCTGCATTTGTGCATGTAGGACCCCCTGCAGCAGGTGAGTGCTGGTAGGAGGGTAAGGGCTGCCCTAAAGACCCTCGTCCCAGCTGGTCATGGAAAAGAACTGCTAGCTCTTGAGAAGTTGTGTGCAGGGAATGTTTCCTGACCAGAAGACATGTCGCAGAGTCAAACCTGTAATTAGGAGATCAGATCCCCAACAGTGGGAAGGCATACACGTTGCAAAGGCCAACTGCAGCTGGTATGGATGGGACATCTTCAGCTGAGTGCCTGGACTTCCTTCAGAATTCCCTGATCTGCTTGTGCTCTCAGACTGTAACAGTAGGAGATTTAAGTAAAGCTCTGATTTTTTTCCCCATGTTTCAGTGTTACATTTTGTGTCTGCTCCATCCCTCTGCAGCTGCCCAGCCAGGTTCCCTGTTTGTTTCCACCTCTCAAAAACAGCAGGAAAACTTTAATCCTAAAACTACAGAAGCAGCAGCTGGTTTCAGGCAGGTGAGGTTCTGAAATGAGAACCAACAGGCTGCCCCTTGAGGGGCTTGTCTTCACAAGAAAGAAATTCTGGTGTAAGAGTATATGAGTTTAAACACACAAGACCTATTCCAGAATAAGTCTGTGGGAGACAGGCCCTCCATTTTTTCCTTCCTTGTGGACAGAATATCTTTGCTCTTGAAAGAGCATCAGACCTGGGCAGTCCGTCCTGTCCTGCCCTAGAGCTGCTGTGTGTGCGGTGCCACTGCTGCCTCTATTGCTCAAAACTCAGCCCTGGAGTTGGCTGAGGAGAGAGTGGATTGTCCCTCCGTGCTTGTTTCTGAGTGTCCACAAAGTCTTCGCTGCAGTCCTCAAGGTCCTGGCTAGGCTGGGTGTGCTGTCACAGCCTGGTGATATTGACATCCCTAATTCTGGCTGCCTGTGGAGGACACAAGCAGAGGAGGATTGCGTCCCTTCACATGGTAGTGCTTTATGGCTTCTATTAATTAGAACAACAATCCTCGCTTGTTGCTCTTGGGCAGTAAACCTCTCTCTTTAATAACCAGAGACTGGCTGTCTCTCTAGGACTCTGCAGGTCAGTGCCAGTAGCAGTAATGTTGCTTCTCTTTAGCACTAATGTGGTCTTTTACAAGATTACACACACACACACACACACACACACACACACACACACATTAATTTCAACTGAATTGTAGGCAAGTAGAAAGGGATTAAAATAAGGCCTATGGCAAAAATAACTGAATGTGCTAGAAAGAGGCTGTCCTGCTGGGAGATGTCTCTGAGCAGCTGGCCATTCCCACCGTATTAAAACAAAGGTGGAGAAACTGAATTTGATCAGCTCATGGAAGGTGGGACAGGACCTGGAATGCCCAGTATAGCAAGAGATTGGATGGCTCCATGGGCAGTGCCTCTCTCATCTTGGAAGTGTGTGTACAGAAAGCAAATGCTGTTGCAGGTGTTTCCCTGCTAGGATGTTGGATGGCCAAGGAGTAGCACAAAGTTGCAGTGTCTCTGGTATGTTTGTCCCACAGATGCTGCTCTCTGCCCATGCTGGGTGGAAGCAGGCAGAGCTGAGGAGTAACCATCTCCTGCTTATGTCACAGCTTCTGTCCTTTGGGGCCATCAGATTGGGTCTCTTGATGCTTGTCTCCCTGGGAGGAAATCCTGGCTGTAGGTGGTGAATCCTGGAGTGGAGCTGGGGAGGGGCTGGGGACCCTGGGAGCGCTGTGCAAGCAGCACTCATCCTGCTATGCCAGGGAGATCTCTCATCTCTTCTGCTGAGATTTCAAATGAGAGTCTCTAATTAATGACATCTCCTCACTTAGCTCTTGGTAGACAGATGCTGGGCCTTTTAGGGCTGATTTGAGACTTGCAGTGCTCCCTCCATTCAGGGCAGCAGCTGGTGAAAAATGTTTCTGTTTCTGACCTGGGTTGGATCTGCTCAGCTGTTCAGGAGTAAAAAAACGTCATGGGAGCAGGTCCTGCTGAGGCATGAACCTGACAAATAACCTCCTGCCTAAAAAAAGTCCCGTTAATTTTAGGATTCCCAGCGGCATATGGCAGGGTATGGAAGGATAAAAATATGCATTTGCTGAAACTGGTGAGAACATAATCTGTCCTGAGAAACTCCCCTTTGGTAATTCTTCATATTGCACATCTTCTTTCCCACCCATGGTCTTGCAGCTGCAGTAGTCTTAAATGAAAAATAGCCTTGTTTTGTTTTAATTTTAACAAGAATTCTTAGGCCATCATGAAGCAGTCCCATTCAGTGATGTACATCTGTGTGTGACAGTGTGTAGTCCCTTGCTTGTGGATTTATAGTATCAGTATTTATATTTGCCACACAAGATTGCAAGTCTCTGCTTGGTTACTTACCTTTTCTGATTTCATCTGTAAAGTATGGAAATAAGATTTACCATAGACGCCTTGTTTCTGGGCTTATTTGGGCTTGGTGAGCAGTCTGTGTTGTCAGTTCTGGAGCTGCAGGATATTAGTTCTGCACTCAGTGTCCAGAGGTAACTTGATCTGTCTGCCTGTATTAGAGTTAATTTACAGTAACATTCAGAGGAAAAGGATATGGACCCTTTTCTGTGAAAATAGTGTAAAATTGCCACAAAGTACTGGGAAATGACTGTGCTCAGTTCCTAAAGATCAATTTATTCACCATAGAGATACAGGGTGAGTGGACAGTTTAGAGAATCAGTAATGGGATAGAGAACCTTTTGCTTCTGCTCCAGCACAGGGCTCTGCTAACCCAGGGCTGTTAACATTTGAGAGCTGTGGTTGTCTTCTGAGAACAGATCCTGCTGTTGTAGGCTGTTTTTCTGAGATGCCTTAGCAGGTACCACCACAGCTAGTGCTGGCTGTCAGCCTCAGCAGATGCAGGGAAGTGTCTGGAGCTGGTGCTGTCAGGGAGCCCTTGGCAGCCTGTCTCTGGGCTGGTCTGCTGGGTTGGGGCTGGCCTGCAGCTCTCCCAGCTGCCCATTTAGCATGCTCTGCTGGAGAGCCATGCTATGGGCTGAGCCATTATCACCTGGGGGTTCCTGGTGGCATGAATCTTAATGGCAAGTCTAGAAAAGCACCTGCTTATCTTCTGCTACTGTTTGTCACAGCATCTCCTTTGGCTGTTTTCTCCACGCAGCTTGGTGTGCAATGCACTGGAAGCTGTGACTTCTGCGTGCATTAATGGGCATTTCTCTCTGTTTTGGTCAGCTTAATTCTAGAGAACAACAAGACTCAATACACACAAAGCAATATGAGAGTATACTGGGAGCATTGTTGTTTTGCTGAGACCACGCTGAGCATATCTCAGGCTCCCCATATTTCAGTCCTTCCGGCGTCATGCTCTCTTTGTAGATGGAGGGACACGTGGTCTCCTTGGAAGATCCTAAAGTGCCTGCCAGAGGTTTTAAAGGTCAGAGTTACTGGAATCAGAGCTTCTGTGAGCTGGTTGGCCTAGGAACATTTTGCGTGGCACAGGATGTAGAGAAGGCAACTGCTCCCTTTGCTCTCAAGTTATTTTTCCCCTTGCCATTTTAAGGTTTTGCTCAGTTTTTCCCTGGGAGCACCTACCTATGTTCCTCTTTTTCTTCTACCTTGAGCTCTCTGGTTTACTTTAAGAGTTACAGCACCATTGATTGTATTGGCTGTCTGGGAAATGGTGTGCTGCTTGCTGTCTGTGGGCTCCCTGCTGCTAAATGCTGCCAGTGGGACTCCAGAGCATTTAGATGAATCGATGGGGCTATCATGGCCTTATTTTCCACACTGGCCCCATCCCTGGGATGTGTGTAACAACTGGAGAGAGCACACAAGCCCTTGGGTTATGGGTTACAGAGTGTGGGCCCAGACCCAGGCTGTGTCCCTGGTATAGGTGGGTGGAGTTTCGTGGGGACACTGGGACCCATGCATGGGGATGGCATCTGCCTGAGCACACTCTGCATGCACTGGGTGAATTGGGGTTTTGGAAGGATGTGTGAGTAATTTCTCCCTGTTTGCAGGTAACTGCCTGCTGTCAGGAGGGACTGGGTGCTGCAAAACAGCACAAAATTAAGTGGGATGCTAATGGTATCTCCCAGATGCCTGTGGAGCAGTCCTGTGCTGGCAGCTGGTGCTTGGTGCCACCAGTGCTCAGCACCACTGGAGCTCAACCCTGGGTGCTGCAGACCCATCTCCTGTACTGAGGAGCACAGCAGCTCATGTGGGGCTTGCCAGCCTCCCTTGTCTACTCATACTGCAGCTCCTGATGGGCATTCAAAACCTGCAGTCTGCAGACCTCCAAGAATATCATCCTGACTGCAGCAAAGGTTGGAAGAAACCTGTTTTTACTGAACATACAGGCTGACCTGGAACCTGCTCACCAAGTACTGCATGGGACAATAGAGCAGTCCCTGCTGTTCTGGGCCCTCAGCATCTCATGGCGAAAACTTCCCAGGAATATTCTTCAGTTGTCGCTACCAGATGGACTAAATCATTTCTCTGGGAAGGAAAGCAGCTGCTGATCCCATTGCTTTTTTCCTCCAGATCCCATCTAATGCCGAGGCTGAAAGAGTCGCGCTCCCACGAGTCCTTGCTCAGTCCCAGTAGTGCTGTTGAGGCTCTGGATCTCAGTATGGAGGAAGAAGTGGTCATCAAGCCAGTCCACAGCAGTATCTTGGGACAAGACTATTGCTTTGAGGTAAGGAGCCTTTCTGTGGCCCCAGGGGCCGTTCCTGCTGCGCGGCAGGGCTGGCTGGGGAGCCAGGTGTGGGGTATTCGCTCTTATGAAACATTTCTGCTCTGAATTGCTGCACTGAGACTGTTTCATAAGCAGAAAATTGCTTCCATCTTCCCGAGGAGGATCGTACCCACAGAATCAGCAGTGAGCTCCTTGCCTTGTAACTGTTGCCACAGCAGAGCTTGCTGCTCACAATGCTGCTGAGCTGCTTGAGGCTGTCTTAGCAGGGCATAAATATACAGTTTATGTTCATAGAGATACCAGAAAGTACTAATCCCTACTCAGTGTTCACAGAGGCATTCTAGGTGGTCACATAGAGAGCCCACTGTTGTCCGTGGGAGCGTTGAGAACTTTGTCTGGAAATCTGAAGCTTCTCTTGTTTGGGTAAATAGAAAAATCTGTGAGTATTTCAAATTTTTTTAACATCTGTTGTGGCATGTGGTGAGGTCTGTACTAGCAGGAGGTGGTAGGACACGTACAAAGCAGTCTGTAGTTGGGTAATTCAATATAGTATGTCTTGGGAATCATTTGTCCTGCATCATGGATGGCAAAGTGTTATTGCTTATGGCAGTGTCTGGATATAGAACTGGGAAATGGTTTTCTTACAGTAATAAGGTGGTCGATACTTGTGTTTCTGTGAAGGGAACTGGTTTGTACTTGGCCACAGAAGAGCAGTTAGACCATGGTTATTCTTGTACTGTAGGGGGATGATGGGAATGCAGGCTGTTCCTGGATGGGCAGTGACGGGTGGAGACAGCCTGGGCAGTGACCAAGAGGGGTCAGGCTGGAGAGATGCACATTTTTTTTTCTTTACTGAAACTGGAATTAGCACACTTGGAAAGATTAATTTCTTAAAACATAAGCAGGTAACACAAAAACAGTCTTACAAAAAACCAGCCCCAAGCATAAACTCCAAAATGGGCTGAGGTATAAATTTTCCAGTGTGTTCATTCTCTGTGGAGCTGAGCAAGTGCAGCAGGTCAGGAGGAGAACAGTTTTGTAAATTATATGGCCTCTATTACATTCCACTCAAGAAAGATAAAATGAAGCTAGATGGAAAATAGATGTGACATCCATAATACAAGAGTTGTTTACAATTCTGTTCAGAGCACAAGAGCAGAGGAAGGGATGTGAACAGTACTTGTAGAAAGTTGACTGAGAGAAATTACACAAGTCAGGCACTTGTAAGGAGGAAGAAAATTTTAGTTTTAAATGAGTTGGATTAAGAGGAGTCACAAAGAAAAAAAGAACATGTTAATTGCTGTTCTGCAAATCCTGCAGAGGAAAGGAAGTGTGCCAGGAAACAAGGGGCGTTGATTTGTAACTGTCTGTTAGTCATAGGCAAGCTCCAGTGGGAAGGGCTGAGGTGAGAGCTAAATGGCCTGTGGTGTTAATGTGTTGATTTTGTGTCTCGGAAAGCCACTGTCAAGTTCAGGGTGAGGTGGGCACTGACTTGAGCTTGCAGATCTCTCAGGATTCTGGGTAGGTATTGGGCCTTTCAGCTCAGTAAAGAGCAGAAAATCTGTGGTGGTTCCTGCGCCTGGGACTTGGAGTTCTCTGGTTGAAGTTTGCACGAGGCTGAAGGAAGATGAAGCTGGTGGTCAAGAGCCATGGCACTGCTGTGTGGGGAGTGCTGAAGAGTGAGAAGCTCAGCTGATGTCCTGGAAAAGGAGCCCTGACAAGAAATGTCAGGTGAGAAATGACTGCTGGAGTCACAGAGATGAGGGGGGAACCAGGATGTTTTCTGCAGAGGGGATTGTGAAGGTGCTGTGGGTTGGTAATGGTGCCTTGTCCCTGTGCTGTAAGGCTGTTGTGGAACTGTTCTCTAGGGAGATCTGCCAGGACTGGCCAAGTTTGCTGTTGCAAATTGAGAAGCGTTGCTGTTGTTGGCCAGTGTCACCCTTACGTGGTTCTTAATGACCTTCTCCTTGCAGTGGAGTGGTTGGGCAGTGGGCAGTGCTGAGGAAGCTGCTTCCATTACCAGCTGGCTGGTGTCTGCTGGTTCTTGTTTGGGATGTTGGTGCTTGCTTGGCTGGGCTGGCTCAGCCTGCTCTCCAGGATCCCTCAGCTGGAAGTGTGCAGCCGCTTTTCAGAAGATGATGGTGGTCCAGGCTCCCCAGCACGGGCAGGGTGAGGGGTGGTGGGCCACAGTTCCTCCTCTACTGAGCTGCAGCAGCAGCCTCGTGGCCTGAGGAACAAGAGAGCAGGATCTGACACTGCAGATGGGATTGTGCTGAGGAGGGCAGGCTCAGAGGGAGAACTGGCAGCGCACCCGAACGGAGACAAAAGCGAGAGATGCCAAATCCATCTGCAGTGGAAAAAACCCAAGTGGCTTGTTTGGAGAGAACTGGCTGACTGAAGGTGCAATTGTTCCTTTCCCTTGGCTCAATTGACCTGCACTAGGAGGTGCTGGAGCTCAGTGCTGGGCTGTGCTGCCCTGCGCTGGCTCTGCTGGGGCCAGCACCCAAACCCTGCTGCTACTGCCCCTGCCTCTGCCTCCTGCTGCTGCTTCACTTCTCTGAAACCTGCTTTTTTCCTGACTTGCTGACTACTTGGCAGTCTGAATTTACTTGTTTTCTTCATTGAATATTTTTTTTTTTTTTTTCCAAAAGTCACTCAAAATCATCTTTTTCCTCCTTATCAGACTTCCCAGTAAGCCTGGTCATTCAGTGGTGACCTGCCAGGGCCTGAGGCCAGTGAAGGACGTTCCAGGTCCATGTGCCCAGAGCTTGTTCTGGGCTCTTCTGTTTGGGGGATCCCAGTTACCATCTGGTGTGACTCCAGTGAGATTCCTTGAAGTGCACTTTGAGGAGCCCTAAGACGTTCCTAAAACAAGATTTTGTCTGACTTAAGAGATCACCCATCCAAGGAGTGTGGATAATAAATATGAATAAGTAACATTTTAAAAATTAATGAGTTTTATTAATTGAGTTTATCCTGTACGTTAATAGTATTCTAGCATATCCAAAATCTTAATGAGACCAGAATACTCTCTTTATCGAGATAATTAATATCTCATGAAGATTGTTAATGCCATGGGATGTTTAGGTCAGAGCTCAAAGCTGGAATGTTATTGCAGATCTGGGGAGAATTTACATTTTTGCTCACACGTGGCAGATACAACCTTCAAGTCCCAAAATCCAGAAGACTTCATGTCTGACACATGAGGATTTTCCCCTTCTCTCTCAAGTATGACAGTTAGAGTTTTTTAGTTTTTGCGTGATAGTTGTTTTGGAATTGAATCATAAGTTTTACCATGATAACTCAATAATAATATGTTGACTTAAGTGTGACAAGAAAATACATTAGATACTCACTCTAACAGCTGGAAGTCATCTGAAACGTTAAAGGATGCTGAAAAGACCATGCTACTGGAGTCTGTTTTTCTTGGAAAGAGAAGATAGCTTGTGCTTAGAAGAACACAGTTTTACAGGACAGAGGATGAAAGTGGGTAAGGGCAGAGGAGGGTGTCTGCCTGAAGGAGAGAGCTTCTGGGATATCAAAGGTTGGAAGATTCCCTTCATTTGCTGTGTGAAGACAGGGGAGGCTTCTTGTCATTTTGTCCTGGTTAGATGTCTGTGTTCAAAAGAAGGAATGTGTTCAGCTCATCATGGAGGTTGGCTAATGACAAATCTCAGCAAGTGCCAGCTCTGCTGTAAGAACAGGTTAGGCTCCTGAGAGATACATGAAATTAAAGGAGATTGTGTCTCCCAGAAGCAGATAACCCAGCGAGCCACGTGTAAACACAAACACTGTGAGATGATAAAGTGCTCACAAAGAATTCTGCAGCTTGAGACTGGCAGGGATGGAGCTCAGAGGGGAGTTATTTAAAGAGCTGGCCAGGTCTGTTTGGCCTGTGCAGAGATGTACATAAAGAATATTACTGGATGTCACCAAACGTGGCAAATGCGGAGAGGGGCAGAGCAGCTGGTGGAGGGCTCGGTGGTGGCCGTGCTGCTCTGCCAGCTTGCCAGCAGGGCAGGGAGGAGATAGGGGCTTGAGGGATACGTATATCTTAGAGGATGTGGAGAACTATTGACCTTTTAGACCTTGGTGCAGCACCTGATGCCAAGCAAGCTTGGTATGGTAGATAGGAAGAAATGTTTGATGTTTCTCACCCTGGGGCTGCCAGGCAGGGGCTGCTTTGGTGGTCTCTCTACAGGGTTGAGTTTCCATGTGGTTACAGGGATGTAATTAGGAATAAGGGACATTTGCACCTCTGGCAACGTTGCTGCTGTGAATGTGCTTCTTCAAAACCTGCCTATGAAGTCCCGATGGCTAGAGAACGATTCCTTGGATGGATACTGAAAGTGTGAGATGTGAGAGGAGGACTCGGAACTGGCCATCTCCAGGTCTAGGAACCCCAGCCTGGTTCTCCTGGAGTGCCCCTGGCTGGGCTGTGAGCTACTGCCCAAGCTGCTGCCAGGGCTCTGGGATGTGTACTTGGCCCCCAGTTCTTCACAGCATGGTCTTCACAAGCAACAGGACACGAAGGAGGAAGGTACAAAGCCAGCCTTTCCAGACCTGATGTTCTGCTGAAAACAAGGAGTGGGTTGATACTGTCACAGGCTTCGGACTGAGTCTGGAGGAATGCCAAGTAGTGGCAATTTATCTTTAGTACATCTAAGGATCTGCTCTCTCTCAGTTGTGAAACTTGGTGGTTTAAAGTGTCACATGCATGGAGCCCATTATCTAGTGTTTTCTGGTGTGGAAGAGGAGAAGTAATTGGAATTTGCTTCCATGATTATTTCTGTGACATACGGAGTTGCCCTGTTTTTCCACCAGGCTTAGGAGCTGGTGCTTCATGCTCGGGTAAAGCTGTTTATTTAAAAAATCCACTAGCATCTTTCCTAACTCCCCCTCTCCGCCCAGATCAGAGTCTGCAGTGTGCTGGTCAAGACATAATCCTGTTCCTTTCCCTGTAGGTGACGACTTCATCAGGAAGTAAATGCTTCTCCTGTCGTTCTGCAGCAGAGCGAGATAAATGGATGGAAAACCTGCGCCGTGCCGTGCACCCCAATAAGGTAGTGGCTTTGAGGAATTGCCTCTGCTAGAGTTCAGTTCCTCCTTATTACATTTTGTAGCCTGGTGCATAGTAGCAGCAGGGGATGTATTGTCATTCTAGTGAGTGAGTGGAACTGTGGGTCAGCTTTTTTTTCATGTAACTTTCTTCCACAATTATATTTACAGGCAAGTGCCAATTATTTCTGCCTTTTTTCTCAGCACATGCTGGTTCAGCTGTTGCTGAGCATTGACCAGACCTGAAGGATCTTCAGTCTTGCTCTGTTACTGATGACACTTGCCACTTACATAGGACTTCCCACCTCCCAAAAGCTCTGGGACAGATGTCAGGTAGCTGCCAGCAAAGCTACAAGACTGAATAGTCTACAGAGTTCACATGTCACACTTCCTGACTCTGGTGGCACTTGCAGTGTCTGCTTAGTGATGGAGAAACTCAGATGCCCATCGCAGCGAGTTCTCCCAGGCGACAGTGGAATGAAGCATTCCCTTCTCCAGTCAGTTGAGGTGACAAAGTCATTCCCTGGGGATCTACAGAAACAAGTCCTTCACTGCAACACAGGGACACCCAACATGTGGTTTTACAGCCCAATAAGTACATCCCAAAATAAATTATCCAGCTGCTTCTCTCTCTCTGCACTGGAGTTAACATCCCAAAATAAATTATCCAGCTGCTTCTCCCTCTCTGCACTGCTAACGAGGATTGATCAGGACTAATCAACTGCAGGGTTTCACAGCTGATGAGCTCAGTCAACAAGTCTTTTTCTGCTGATCAAAGATGACACAAAAGATGAGATCCTGTGAATTCATTCCCAGCATCAGAGCCACAAAACTGTGGATGAAAGTTAGGTCTGGGCCCGGTGGGTTGTGGAAGGAGCCTCTGTGTCAGAGTTTGTGGCTCCCAGCACAGTGCCCAGTGCCAATAGAGAAGATTTCCTTCCAATATCAGACTGGGAGCAGTGGAGGGGAGAGGTGAACCTCTGCCTCTCACTGCATGTTCCTGTGTGTGGAGTACAAAGACTTTTCAAGTGCAGCAGCCTGGTAGTAATGATCTGACAGAGCTCTGGGAGGTTTGCGTGCTCACACTTACATGAGAAAAGCCCTGGGGGTGTGAGCTGGGGCTGGGCATGTCACCATGGCTTTGAGATGCAGTGCTCAGTGGAAATTCATCTGGAAGTGTGCCCTCACCTCAAAACGTGCCACTAACTGATGGCTGACTTGCCATCTTTGTTTGAGTTCATAGACAATAAACTCTCAGTATCTGACTTGATATTTCTGTCAGGAAATCAGTGTTCTTGTATAGTTCCTGTGTGTACTCCCTGAATCTACAGTAGCCCATTGTGGGCTTCCAGCAGAAACATTCCTGCCCAGATTCTTAGGCTGTGCAGAGTAAGGGGTGGTTGCTGTTTCAGAGAAGGGTTTCCAAACAAAACAGGTGAGTGCAGAATCACTGCAGCATTTCAGTGGTGGGTGCCTTGTCTTTCAAGTCAATCCTCCAACAAATGGCCCTGGATGTTCTTCCAGGATGAGGTCAGCATCACTGGGGAGGATCCACAGTATCCTTTGCTCCATTATTGTTTGAAAGATAACCAATCCAAATTTCTACTTCTGAATTGTAAGGATTCTCCATGCGGAACTTGCCCCGTGTCCCATGATTCCTCTTGATGTTTCAGTTGGGTGCTCTAGACTTCTGCCCTAAAACACCATGAAGTTTCCTTTCCCTGCCTGTTGTGGTTGCTTTTCAGCCATGGATATGAGGTGATCCCTGGGTGGGTGTTCAGACCCTTTTATTGTTTCTCTGTTACCCTAAAGAAAATCCACTCCAGTGCTGCTGTAAAGCAGCTGTACTAAAAGAGGAGGTGGTTGTGAGGTACCTGTGACAGCTTCTGTTCTGCAAGCGCCATTCGTGATCTGTGAGGTTTCTTTTGAGGGCCCCTTGGCAGTGAATGAGAAATGGTACATTTATGATTTAGAGGGGCTTTTATCTTCCTTGCTCCTTGTATTAACTGGCACCAACACACATGGAGAGCACCGTGATATTTGGAAAATTAACATAAGTAGGGTTATTATGCAAATTCCTGAGAGCCAGTATTTCCTTAAAATGCAATGTAATTAAGCCTCTGCTCATTTAGCACATCCGAAATAATTAACTCGTATCTGTAGTTTTGTTTTGCCTGGCTTTGTGGTTTTGTTATTGACCTTTTTTTCTTTGCATCTTTTTTTCAGGACAACAGCAGAAGGGTAGAGAATATGTTAAAGTTATGGATTATTGAAGCCAAGGACCTGCCAGCTAAGAAAAAGTACTTGTGTGAATTATGCCTGGATGACGTTCTTTATGCACGAACTACCTGTAAATTAAAAACTGATAATGTATTTTGGGGGGAGCACTTTGAATTTAATAACCTCCCATCACTCAAAAACATTACGGTGCACTTATACAAAGAGACTGACAAGAAGAAAAAGAAGGACAAGACCAATTTCATTGGGCAAGTGAACATCCCCGTCAGCTCGGTCACGGGCCGGCAGTTTGTAGAGAAGTGGTACCCAGTGGTGAGCCCCAACCCCGGGAAGGGCAAGTCCCCGGGGCCCATGATCCGCATCAAGTCCCGCTACCAGAGCATGAGCATTCTTCCCATGGAGATGTACAAGGAGTTTGCTGAGTACATCACTAACAATTACATGGTGCTGTGCTCAGTGTTGGAGCCCTCGCTGAGCGTGAAGAACAAAGAGGAGATGGCGTCTGCGCTGGTGCACATCCTGCAGAGCACGGGCAAGGCCAAGGTAAGCCCCTTTGTCACTGGTACCGTCCCACCAGGGAACCTCGGGGGCAGATTCCTGTGTCAGGTTTCAGAAATCACCACTTTGGTTGGGCTGCAGGCCTAGTCAGCATTAATACACTCTTAATTTTGCTGTGGTTCTTGACATGTCCATTGTGGAGCTCTGTGCCCTGTCTGCCACAGAGCGTCCTTTGTCCCCGGGTGGCACTTGGGCAGTGCCAGAGTCAGGACTGCAGGAGTTAAGGCATCGGCGTTTCTCTCTGTTAACATCTCCCTGAACTCTGCAGGGGGGAGCTGGGGAAGAGCAAGATTTCCAAAGCTTTTGCAGTGCTGAGGAGATGTGAGCTCCTCGCCCGCGGGGGAATCACAGGGCTCTGCTTCCTCTGCAGCTGCCGCTGCTGCCTGGGACCTTAGCGGGGTTTGAGGATTAGATTTAGTTACAGTCTGTCGAGCAGAGAAGTGCCTTGGCCTCCTGATCAGGTTGAAGGCAAAGCTCACTGAGAGGACCGTGAGGCCGTGGGCCTGGTATTGCAGAGGCAGCAGCAGCAGAGCCCAGCAGCACAGGGAGGACAGTGATCCCAGGCCCCTTGGCTGCCGTACCCTCAGTGGGGAGAGAACTGGCTTGTGACTCATGGGATGGGAAATAATGCTTGGTGGTTACACAAGGAAAACATCATGGGTGTCCTCCTCCTCACTTGTTGTGCTGGAGCTGTGGCACTGCCCTTCACCATGGCTCTGGTGGCACTGGTACCACGGCTTTTATTGGAATGATGTTGCCATGAAGACCCTGTTGAGTGGCTTACATAGTTCTGGTGCAAAAGGCTTCAGGTGTCACCCTGATCTCAGCCACCATGGATCATGTGTGGGCATGGCTGGGAGCTGTTGTCACTGCTCCTGCTTTTTCCCTCTTCTTGGTGCTAGAGAGGCTCTGGAGAGGGCAAGTGTGTTTCTAGACATGTGTCTGCTTCAGTGCTTGAGATCCCAGAGGCACTACACAAGGGACACAGCAAACAGTAAACAGGCTTGATGAATTTCCCTCTAAAATGGAGCTGCTGCTTTCCCTGCCTGTCGTCTGCCATCAGCATTAGCACAGGGTTTAGAGAGCTGTCAGAGCAACAGGAGTTATTGGAGCATGGGAGCTGGGTGGTGCATCATTTGGAGAGGAGTTGGACCAGCAGAGAAAGGGAAAAGCAGCAGTAAGGTAAAAAAACCACAACAAAAAGGAGAGGAACCATCCCCTCAGCCCTGCCTGTGTGACATGGGTGCACCCTGGCACTGCTCAGGACACAGCTCCTTCAGCCCGGAGTCACCCAACACCAAACACCCGCTCGTTCAGAGGTGACGCTGAGCAGGAAGGTGAAGCACCATGTCCCCAAGTAGGTGGGTTCTGAAATGGGGTTCAGAGCACAGAAGGAGGAGAGCAGATCCCTGTGGGCCAGGATCCCAGCGGGTGGGAATGGTGCTGGGGAGCCCATGTGCTGCTGTGTGAGGCTTGGGGTTGGGTCCCAGACTCTGCTGGTGAGGACCTCAGCCCAGCCCTCACCCCAGCTCTGGTGTGGGGGGAAGAAGGCAGTGCTCCCCCTCCAGCCTCTGTCCTCCCCTGACCCTCCAAAGCTTGCCCAGGCTGGAGTTGTGTTTCCCATCCTTGTGCTTTGCCACGAGCCTTTTCAGTGACCTCTCAGAGCTCTCCCCTGCCCTGAAGAGTGTAGACATGGCAATCAGCAACCACTAATTTATTTTGCTGATAAAGGGGTTTTTGTGGATCTTGGCTGCTGTAGCTGATGCTAAAGCAGCAATTACAGTTGTAGTGAGAAACAAGTGTCCAGTAGATTATCTATGAAGACTTGTTAGCAGCTAATTGCTCTTGCCCTGTTTCAGGCCTTGTTTTCTTGTAGTGATTTGCTGCAAATACAGTGTAATCCCTTAATGAGGCACGACTGATTGGGTACATGTGTCCACCCAGGGCCACGCAGCAGGAGTTCCCGTGCAGGAGAGGTGAGGAGCTGGAGTCCATGTTTCCTTTTATCTCTGAGAAAGGGAGAAGCTTCATCCCTGCAGTCCTGTGCAGGGGTTTGGAGTGCACCAGGGAATGCCCGGAAATCCCAATCAGCTGCTGAGGCAAATAGGTGGAGAGGAGGAGGAAGAGCATTTTGATAAAGTTAAAAGTCTGGCTGAGGGAGCTGCCCCAGCCCACTGGGAAGTCTGACAAACATCCGGGACTAAATCGTCTCTCTCGGTGCAAGTGGTTGTTCAGTGTCTCTGTTAATGGCAAGTGGGGACTGGAAGAGGCTTCTCTGCCATGAGAGGGAGGGAGTTTTGTGACTAAACAGAGGCATGGACTCGCAGCATCTGTCCTTGACTTGCTACCTGCTTCATCCCAGTGAGATGCCTGGCTATTTTCATGTGTTTTGCAACCCATACACAAAAGACACAAACTTAATGACAAGTATTTCAGTTGCCATCCTTGGCGTTTCTGGGAGTGCTCACCCCTGCCATTAGCATGACTTGATGTGGCCTGTGTGATGTGGTTGTGGATAAGCAGGCTGCATCCTTCCCAGAGCAAAGCTGATGGTGACTTTCGATGCTTCCAGAATATTTCCCATGCTTAGATTCATTCCAGCTCTGTCTTACAGCTTTTAGAGCTCAGTTCATGACCATAAATATATGAAAAACTCTCTCGTCCACATGGTTGCTAGATCAAACCCAGCATCAGACAGAGCTCTAACTAACCAGCTGCTCACTTGAAATAAATATTTATTGTGTTGTGAATGGAGTGAAGAATAAACATGTGTCCCTGTTTGTTTATGCTGCAAGGATTTGCCTGGGCTGAGCAGATGTATTTACTCCGTATTTACTCTGCCTGTGTGAGCCCACTGGGAACTGCCCACGTTGCCCCCCTCAGCAGTGTGGGGTGCTTGGTCAGAGCTGACAGTGCCAATTTAAGTGCAAATATTATGGAAGGCTGCCTAAAAATGACAGAGAGGGGACAGAGAGGTGAGCAGCATGGCTGGGCCAGGAGGCTGGTGGCACCAGGGTTTGTTGGGTCCCTTACCCTCCCTGCAGACACAGGCCCAGGACTCTGTGTGGGTTCTGCTGCAGGCAGGACTGGCAGCAGCCATGTCATTTCCCCCACAAAGAGTTTATCTCTCTGATAATGTTTTATAGCAGCCATAGTTGACATAATAAGGCTTTTAATTGGTTTTATGGCAGCCCCATCGTTTTTCCCCATCTCCTCAAACACACCAGTTGGGTTGGTTGGGAGGACAAAGGAAGCTGGTGAGGGGCAGCTGCAAGGATCAAGGTTTGGGCTGTCAGGGTGACAGGCAGTTTCTCAGCCCCCCTGTGTGGGATGCAGCCCCTCTGCCCTCACCAGGAGATGTTGGTCACTCGGTGTCTTAGTGTTGTATCCCTCAGGTTTTCTTACTGTCCCAAGCAAGGTGATGGACACAGATTCTTCTGCATCAAGCCTCTCATTGCCACTTCATCTCCTTTTTGCAAGGAGAATTAGAAAATGCCAGGAGCATCAAGGATGAGCTCTGGTGCTCAAAAGAGGAACCATGACTGCAGAGAAGTATCCAGCACACATCCTCAGAGGAACTGTGTGGTAGTGAAAAGAGAAAGACTGGCCATTGGGATCCGTGGTTTCCCACTGTCTGCCCAGGATCTAATCACTGCCCCTTGCTGCTCTCCTGGTGCAGCTCAGCACTTCAGGTGCTGTGTCTCTGCCTCAGCAGCTCTGACACGTAGGTGTGTCCTGGCACTTGGCCACCTGCAACCCACAGCCCTACCAACCCCTGGTGCCTTCCACCTTTGCATAAAGCCCAGCTGGGCTTGGAGCTAGTCTTTGAAATAAGCAGTAATCTTATTACCTTTATCAATTCAATCCTCTTAAGGTTAAGTCAATCCTATTAATCAGGCTTGTGATGTGGAGAACCTTATTATTTCAAAGTCAATCTGCCCATCAGTCAGTTATGATGTGGGGAATCGGCCCCAGCCCAGAGGTGTATGTGACCTGAGTGGTGTGTATGGGGCTCCATCACATCCCCTGTTCTCCAACAGGGCACCTCCTGGAGAAGCTGGGGCTGGAGGACCTTCCCTATGATGGTGAGGTGTAAAATCCTTCCTGGATATGTCCTGCAAGACCTGTGTTGCTTGTTGGCTGCCCTGGCCTAGGAAACACTCCTGTTGTCACCACAGCCATGCTAGGAACCCTCTGGCTCTGTCTTTCTGCCTCCTGGGCTGAGGAGCCAGAGGGGGCAGGCATTGCCCAGTGACACACCCTGACACCTTGAACCCCTTTGGGACTGTGATGCATGGTGTAGATAGACCCCTTGCCAGGACAGGTGGGCTCTCTGGGTGCTGGTGCTTACCTGGCAGGGATGCTGGTGCCCTGGGCCCATGGGGCTGTCAGATGGTGATGGAATGTGTGACTGGATCAGCTGCCAGCTCTGGCTTCATCCCCTGCGAGGGGGATGCTGTTTGATTGTGGTTTGAGACAGGAGGATGAATTCACCCAGGTGGGCAGGGGAAGCAGCATCTGAAGCTCCACAGGTGAAATTCCTAGGAAATTGAAATGTTTTGAGGCTCCACTACAGGTAAATGGAGACATTTGAAGGACAGAGTGAGGGGTGTGGAGCAAGCCCAGGCTCAGGCCATCTCTGTACCCTGCAGGCAGAGTGGGTGCTGGGAGTGACCCATGGCCTGGGAGCTGCCAGCCCCAGAATGGCCATCCAGGGGGTGCTGGGGCTGAGGGAGGAGGGAAGGCTGCAGTGCTGGAAGGACTTTGTGGTGGGGTGTGTGAGCCCTGGGGTGGTGCAGAGGACGCTGCCTGCTGTGAGGACCAGGTTGCCACTCCAGCAGCCAAACTCTTGCTGCATTTCTAGAGGACCAGAGGAGCTGCCTTAGAATAGTACAAATTGCCGTGGGCTCATGCTTGGTTTATTTGAAAAGTGCTGGAAATCCGTGCTGTCATGCTCTGAATTTATTTGTTTATGAATTGCTCCTCTTTCTCAGTGTATATGCAGTGACTGAAGTTGCACAGGTTCAGCTGTGTCCAGTTTGAAGTAAATATCCTTAAAATAAACATAGGAGCAAGCCTGAAGAACACTGCCACAGCCCTTCATTTTAGCTGTAGACCTTTTCCTTCCCCTCTCCACTCTGATGTAATGAAATAAAGCATCTTATTTTCTTCCATTGCCAGGGGCCCTAACTGAAAACAACCCCCTGCTGATCTCTGCTGCTCAGAAACAGGGAGTTTTATTGGCTTTAGTTATTGCATTTTATTCAGAGCCTTGTATGTGGGAGAGTGAGGCCCCTGGAGGGATTTGACGAGTACTTGCATTCCATTTGTGTCCTCCAAGTGCTGGCTACTGGCGGACTTAAGGCAGAGATACCGGCCTTGTGATCCAGAGCTGATGTGGCTTTTTGTGTAGAGTGAAGGCCAGATCTGGAAGATTGGCCCTGGGACAGAAATTGCAGGATGTCATGGGAACTGACCCGTGGCTGAGGCTCCTTTCCGGCCGCTGGCAGAGCTCCCCTGGGCTGCCCAGAGCGGGCTCTGCAGAGGAGCTCGCTCGAGGACACTGGCTGTGGGTGTTTTCATCCCTGATGCATCTCAGGGCTGGTTCTTGCAGCCTGGCAAGATGCCTCCTGTAGCCTGAGGAGGCAGGACCTGCTGGGGACAGGGAGGAGCCCTGGGCTGGGGGATGCCATTGGGTATCCTGGCTCTCTCCTCCATCAGGAGCAGGGCTGGACTCTGCCATGTTATGCCCTGGCTTTGATTGTTGAGCTGTAGGGGAGCTCTTTGGGATTTCAGCAGCTTTCCCTTTGGAGACAGGGGGTCGTTTTCTCAGCTGTTGAGCTGCAGATGCTCTGTAAGGGATAATGTCTGCAGTTGAGGTCTTGGGGGTGTCTTCTCTGGCTTTGTGTTGAGTCACACACTGGAATTTTGCCTCATTCTGAATTTTAGTGAGTTCTGTAGATCAGATAAAATCATCAAAATTCACATTGTCACTGGCTAAAACTTGGCCTCTGGGTCTCCACCACTTGGCAGCCCTGGCTCACTGTTGGGCTGCACATCCTGGCTTGGCCCTGCATCCCACAGCAGCCAGTCCTGGGCCAACAAGAGGGGGGAAAAAGCAAACTTGGCTAAGAGAAGCTATAAAACTCAGTGCTCCTGAGATAATTAGTATGTTGGGAAAGTGACAGGAAAGAGAATCAAGCAAAGGCAAGGTCAGTGGCAGCTAATTAAGAATCAGCACCTTGTGTCAGCATGAGCTGTGGCTTGGAAATGAAACATACCCTGGGAGAGACCCAGGAAGATAAAGGTGATGGAGTTACCCAGATAGCAGCTAGCAGAGTCTGAGCAGGCATTTAAAGTTTCATTCCATCTTGACCAATAAAAGGGGCAAAATGAGAGAAAATAGTGGGGGGAGGCAGGTGCTGTGCTTTCAGGAGGGATTTTTGCTTCTTCAGCTGCTGGAGCATTGGAGAGACAACAGGATCTGAGGAAGGGGATCTTCTAGCTAAAGAAATAATGGGAGTGACTTTTTTTCCTCAAAGCTCCTCTGGCTTTTTTTTTGGAAGCTGTTCTGAGAAGGTCACATCAATGTGTCACAGTCCTGTGGGAAGGTGGGTGGAAGAGATAGGGCTGTTGGGTGCTGCAGATGCCAGTCCTCCTCCCCTCCTCCCCTGTGCTCAGGTGCAGACATACCTGCCTGCTGCTGGATCTTCCTTTGGGACAGAAGGATTAAATGACTTGGATCTGTTTGGTTCAGTTGAAGCTGTTCATTGAACCTTGATTAAACATTCAATGCCAGAGTGTCCATGTGAAGAATGAAGTGAAGCTGAGGGCCTCTTCTGCAAGTCTCCCAGACAGCTGCTGGCAGGGCATGGGACATGGGTGTCCCCTGATCCCCAGTCTGGGTTGGAGCAGGCTGTGTCATGGCCACAGCGGGGATGGTGAGGACTTGGGTCCCTGCATAGGAGCCCTGGGGTGCCCCTGCTGCCCCTGCCAGGAGCAGGTTACATCTGGTACAGTCATGACAAATGAAGAAGAATTTCTTAGTGAAAGGTTATTACTGAGCAGATTATCTTTGTTTTAGAGAGCAGTTTAAAAAAGGTGCCCTTGGTTGTAGCAGGGAATTTGTATGTCAACATTGCTCTGTCTTCTGCATGGGGAACAGTAAGAGGTTTAATGCATGTGATTTTCATGGTGGCTGCAGCTGGTTTCCCTTTGTCACCCAGGTGAGTGGTGCTGGGTGGGAGCACATCGACCCTTCAGCACCCAGCACAGCCAGGAGCTGGGCAGGGCCCAGAGCTGCTTTTCCCATTAGCAGTGCAGAGAGCAGCAGTTGAATATGTATTAGCATTGCCAACTGCACAGCCTTTCTCCTGCATTAACGTGAGCCACAGCACACTAAACACTGCACTAAGTATTACACCACACAGTGGATTTTCAGCAGAATGCACAGGGAGCAACGTGACCCTCTCTGATCAGTTAAGGTTGTTCTGAAGCAGACAGGGAGCTCGGTCTGATGGGCTGTTCTGCTCTTAGAATTTGCATTTCTGTAGCCCAGCCTGATGTGTGGGGTAGCTGCCAGTGTGCAGGCTGCTCCTTCTCACCCCACCCACTGCTCTGCAGCACAAAGGGTTATAAAATAGTGTGGTTTTTGGTTGTGTGCACATCAGACCAAAAATGTGTCCAAAATGGGCTGTGGCACTGCTGTTTATTTCTATGAATACTAAGGAAAAAAGACATTTGAGCATCTTGATGCATATTACAAGCTTGATTCTCAGCTGTTAACTGTGGGGCTCAGCTCGTGACATCTCAGTATGTCCCTGTTTTGCAACCAGTGCAGTTAAACACCACATGCAGGCAGTTTTAACAGTGGAGAAAACCTGTCACCCACAAAAGATGAGTTTAATGGAGACTCACCTGAAAGCTGGCACTGACGGAGGGGCGAGCGCAGGGCAGGCCTGGAATCAATGAATTTTTGGGGTGTAAAGGTTGTGACTCTCCAGGGGTTTATTTCTCCTCATGTCTTAGTGAGGTTGGAGAAAGCAGAAGAAAAGTGGGGCTGGTGGTGAGGGTGCACACACGGCATCACTGCAGCACCTCCGCTCCCTCTGGTGTCTTAGGGAGGTGAGACCTCTCTGGAGAAGGGGAGGCTGCCTGCTCTGCTGGACAAAGCATCTGTCAGTGTGTGGTGACCCACCATGGGCTTTGCTTTCCAGGATTTCTTGACTGACCTGATGATGTCTGAAGTTGATCGCTGTGGTGAGAATGAGCATCTCATTTTCAGGGAGAACACACTGGCCACCAAAGCAATTGAAGAATACCTGAAGCTGGTGGGGCAGAAATACTTGCAAGATGCCTTAGGTACGTACAGAGTGTTGGCAAGTCTTGCCCAGAGGGGTCCTGCTCTAAGCTGCAGGGTGTGTGGTGAGGACCATCAGCTGAGCCCTGATGGCCACGGGAGGCACCATTTACCTGCTGGGGGGTTGCTCTGGCAGTGGGGTCTGAGCCGGGGCACAGCCGTGGCTGCAGTGGGCAGCTCTCAGCCCCAGCTGAAGGTCACTGCTGAGTGAGCACTTCAGTCTGCTTTCAGAGGAGGAAACAAGTTGGTATTTGAAGGCATCATGCTCCCTGCCAGGTCTCTCTCAGCACTGGCAGTGCCATGGGGTCTTAGTGAATCCTCCCCTGGTTGCTCACCCCGCCAGAGACGCTCCCCCGGTTCCTCGCAGCTCCACTGAGTCAGATGAGACCTCCTAAGTTCCAGTGATGAGACTTCCCTCCCAGATTATGCTGGGAACCCTCCTGGTGGTGTTTTACTGGGTTTTTTTGTAAGTGCTGGCTATGTCTATGGCTCCAAAACAATTTTTCTTGATGCAAATGAAAATAATTAGAGCTTCTGCTTCTGGGCAGGTCAGGAAGGAATTGCTGTCTTGCTGTGTGCAGCCAGCACAGCATGAGGATGGGGAGATGCTGCCTTTGAAGCATGATGGCTCATCCTCAGCCCAAGGCAGCTGGAGAGTTTCTGTTGAGCTGTTAATTTTTCAGTATATTGGGTTCCTACTGTTGGATTCCTGTAATTTTAGCAAGGGACAAAGAAATACTTTATGAAGAACATAATAATAATGACAGTGCTGAAGAAGAGGAGATCATTGAACAAGTTCAGTCAAAGCAACAGGTAGCCCACAAGAATAGGAATAGGAATATTACTTATTTATGCCTTGTAATGCTTTCTTGTTGAAGGCAAGTCTGTAAGTAGATTACCTTATAAAATTTCTAAAAAGCCAGGAGATAAATGAAAGGCAGAGAACTTTGAAATATTCCCCTTTCCAGGCTCAATGCAAATGCTTCCATGCCTGCTCCATCTAGTGCAGGAGGAGCCTGCGGTTCCTGCCCGCTGGTCCGGGCGCTGGTTCCGTGTAGCCCTTTTATCAGGGAAATGATTCATCTGTGTGTCAGGAGGTAACACAATTCAGCATCACGCTTCCCTTGAAACCATGCAGCACAGGCAAATAATAGGGCCAGATGATCACAGCAGGCATCACCTGCAGGCAAGCAGAGAGGCTCCAGAGCTCCCTGGCAGAGCTGAGAATACACTGGAGAGGCCCTCCAGTACATAATTAAAATCTGTTTTGGCAATAGGGGAGGAATGTGGACTAGAGCGGCCAGAAAACAGGATAGGAAAATCCAAGACGGTCAGGAGTTAGGAGATGAGCAAACCAACTGGAATTAGCAGAAAACCAAAGATAAACACTGCCTCTGGCATCCTGTCCCCTGCTCTCCCCAGCCACTTCTCTGTGCTCACTGGGATGGACAACTGCCTTCCCCCCAGCTGGACACCTCTGGAACTGGTGGGAAGCAGCATCAAGGCTGGGCAGCCAGGGTCTGTGCCCAGGTACCCTGGGGTGAAGGTGGCACAAGAGCGAGGAGCTATCATAGCAGGACCCCAGTGTGAGTCTCTGCAAGGATGAGGAGCAGCCAGGCAGCAAAACAGGAGTGCAGGGAAACTCAGATAAATACTGTAATTTAATTTTGTGTGATGTTCAGCTCAAAATAAACCAAGTAAATTGTTTCTTTCCTTTAATTTCCTATTTCTCCTGTGAATCACACTGGCCTGTCAGCACCAGGGCACAGTCTGCAATAGCAGGCCATCTGACAAATAATGACAGAACTTACCAGCAAACTTCCTACTGGATTAGCCCAAGGGAGCGTCTCTGGAAGGGGTGCAGTGGGGGTCAGGGCAGGCCGAGGAGGTGGGTGTTTGGCAGCACAACTCTGCTGCAATAGCCCATAGCCACAGAGGCAGAGCTGCCAGCTGAGGAAGAGGGTGAAACGTGCTCTTTGGGATCTGGGTGCCTTTCTGCAGAGCATGCTGGATTGTTTTGTGAGCTGCCGGCTGCTCCTGGGTCTGCTGGAAGGTCCTGAGAGCTGGTGGGGACACAGCCTGACCCAGGACCCACCACCTCCCGCTCTCCTGCCCCTCTCTGTTCAGCTGTGTGACAGGTGTAGGGTAACTGCTCCGTAGTGGGGCCTTATGAACAGAATTGCTTGAAGGCTGCATCTCTCGTGTCTCCAAAACCCATCACCAACTGTCTGTTTTCCAGGGGAATTTATCAAGGCACTGTACGAATCAGATGAAAATTGTGAGGTGGATCCCAGCAAGTGTTCATCTTCAGACCTTCCTGAACATCAGAGCAACCTGAAGATGTGCTGTGAGCTGGCCTTCTGCAAGATCATCAACTCCTACTGGTGGGTGTCCTGCGGGGGTCACTCCCCTCCACGTGCCCCCAGCTGGCACAGGGGTGGTGCAGCTGCAGGGAGCAAGGGTGGCAGCAGCCCATCTGTTAGTACCTGTGCTGATGGGCACCCTGTGAGGGAGCTGTGGAGGGGCAGCTGTGGGGCCCTGCCCACGTCCTGCAGTGCAGAAGGAAGCGCTGGATGTCTGGGAGTGAGGATGGCCAAGGGCAGAGTTTGGAGTGTCTGCTTTGGGGGTGCAACAACTTCCCTGATTCTCTGTCACACTTGTTTTTGTGGCTGCTGAAGGGTTCCTGGCACAGAGACATGGGGATGTGCTTGTGGAGTCGAGGAACATGAAATGCCTTCACCAGTGTGACCAATTCAGAGAGGGACTTGATGCCAACTGTACATGAAAGTCTGGACTA